ACATAAATGGGAGAAACAAGTTGATCAACAATGCCCACTTTGTTGTATCGTTTAGACCTAGCTTTTGAGGCCGTGACTTTAGTCTTCAATTCCCCTTTAATACCTTCTGATGGGCGTGATGGAAAGTCGTTTACCAAGCTTGCATAAAGTACAAAATTAAATGTTTTTAGAAAGTGTAATAGATTTTTGCTCACATTCACTCTTTATTGTCGTCTACTAGGAGCCAGTTGTTGTAGTCTGAAAACCACTTGAAGGCAGGCCTTTGATAAAGGCATTTACAAGGACTCCTTTTTAACCCATCCATACTCTCTTTATTGGTTCTTCAATAAACATTCCATTCATATGCGCAGCTTTGACTTTGTTAGACCAAAGTTCGTTCACTAGACCACTTGGCTTTTTGTCTCACTGCTGACAAGGCTCTATCCACTTTTGCAGGAGGAGTTGGCCCTCTTCCATACGCCCGAACACATCGACCGCTACTGTCCTGAATCCTCCTCTGAATATGAAGGGGATGAGATGAAAATGGAGGCTCTAGGGAGCATGACAGAACTGGCTATGGATCCGGAGACATCGGTTAACAAAGGAGATCGAAAATTGGCTACCTCTTCCTTGGCCACTCTCCATTGTGGTGGCGTGGGTGTCGACTCGGACACTGTGTGGAATCCCGAGACTACCTCTAAGTCCGCTCGACTTGCTGTTGGACAGGTTCTCTGTCTTGCTCACAAGTTAGTCCTGTACACCACTTTTGCATTTTTTGATTCACCTTTTAGCATTTCCATTTTCCACTTTCCACAGTCTTGCTTGCGGTCGACTAAGAAATGGCTTTGCTCTTGTCCACCCTCCTGGTCATCACGCTGAGCCGGATCAGGCCATGGGTTTTTGCTACTTCAACTCTGTAGCTATAGCTGCACTCTCAATCCTGCGAAGTGGGCAAGCGAATCGTGTCCTCATCATTGATTGGGACATTCATCATGGAAATGGAACGCAGTTTGCAGCAGAAAAACATCCCGGTCTACTTTACATTTCGCTGCATCGCTATGATCAAGGCACTTTCTTCCCCGGTACGGGCTCCTTCCAACGTCATTGTCATAGTGGTTATATCATCAACATTCCTTGGGGATGCACCGATGCCAGTCCTGCCGCTTCAGTTCGTCGTGAATCTTGGCGCCTGGCGAAAGTTACAAAGGCTGCCTCGTCTAACGACAGTGGGGTGCCGGAGGATTGCGCCTCCACAATGGTAGGAGGAATAGCACAGAGTTCCACCTCTTCACCCGCCTCCTCTTCTGCTGGCTCGCTGGACGCGGGGCTAGCTCGATGCCCGGTTAGTGGAGGCAGTGGTGGGGAGACGTCAGGAACAGTGGGACTCTCTGATTCGGAGTATCTGGCTGCCTTTCGCAGTCTTGTGCTCCCTCTGGCCACTGAGTTCTCGCCGGATGTGGTCTTGGTTTCTGCAGGGTTCGACGCCGCGGCTGGGCACGGGAGTGCTCTGGGTGGATATGAGATATCTCCTGGAGCCTTTGCATGGATGACACGACAAGTAATATTTGTCTGTTCCTAGCTTAATTCAATCCCACACTTTAGTAATATTAGATTTGTGGAGACCTCATATTGCCGCTGACTTATTTTAGAATTGCTTGCATGAAAGCACTATCTAACCACAGAAAGGGATTTCATTTTAATTAAACAAGCATTCCTTTTTATTCTTAAGTGCATGTCTCTAGCCGGAGGAAGAGTTGGTCTGGTTTTGGAAGGCGGCTATGTTGCTTCGGTAACTGCTGACTGCGTTGCCACTTGTCTGAACGCCCTTCTTCTTCCCAATCCGCCACCCGCCGTCTTCGATGTTAATCCCGGTGGCAGTAGCTTTCAGAGACTTGCCATTCTAGATGACTGTATCACGGCTGCCAAAGCCTGGGTTGCGCCTTCTGAGCTTGCTCGTGCTCCACGGCCAGAAGCAGTGAAGACCCTTGTTGAAGTTGCCAACGTTCATGCTGCAAGTGGACGGTGGAAGTGCCTTACTATGCCGGATACCTCAGTCTTGGTGGACGTGGCTCTGTACGTCTAACTTTGATGCGTTTTGGGGTTATCAATTCTTAATATCGTTACCATTTTTTGCTTCTCTTTAGGTCCTTCAACAAAGCAATGGAACAGGAACGTGCACGTCTCCTTTCTTCTTCCAACACCGCTGTCGCGTCGTCGTCTGTCTGGAGCCCCTCCTCGAAACCCGACTCTCTGTGATGCTGTCTATATCCTTGCTACTGATTTTTATGTTAGTAGCATAGATATTGCTTCCTCCATCTGTACATTAAATGCTCATCCACTCAGTCACTAATTCACAAGGTCTGCTTTTCACTTGGATTGATCCCCATGCTTTTTGACCCTTTGGTAACTTTATCTCTTGTTCTCTTTCTGCCTCTCCATATAGCCCCTATGAAAGCCTACTCACTCTCCTTTACTCCTTTTTTTACTTCGTAATATTATTGTAACTTGGAAACGGTGCATTGATATTCCTTGCGTACTTTCAAGAAAGTAGCAATTTTTTGCAGCAAAACACCTGTCCTTTGTTGTTCTCTTTTTTTGAT